CCAAATCTCCCCCCCGCTGCCGCCCCCGCCGGCCGAGGACCTCATGGAGGCGCTGGCGCGCGAGCAGACGCTGCGCCGCGAGGCAGAGGGCCGCCTGAGCGCCACGAGCAGGGAGGTCGAGGAGCTGAGCGTCAGCCTGTTCGAGCAGGCCAACGAGATGGTGGCCGCGGAGCGCCGCGCCCGCGCGCGCCTCGAGGAGCGCGTCGGCGAGCTCGAGGCGCGCGACGACGACAAGAGGAGGCGCCTGGACCGTTTGGAGGCCGCCATGGCCCGCATCGAGCGCGTCCGGAGTATTCTTGACAAGTGAACATTGAACATTGAACATTGAACATTGGCGTGCTGGCGACTTGGACTGGGGAGCGTTGGATGGCGGGGAAAATCTAGCGGGGGTCTTTTTTTGGCTATATATTGATGTTTTTTTTGTTTCTAGAGCATGAGATACCAGGCGTTGTAACGGCATGTAGAGGACATTCCATATTTGGATCATGCGTGTATGACTAGAACCAGTGCCGTAATATCACCGTGCATGACATGCGAGATGATGCTCGTGTCTGCCTGAATATATCGACATTGCGGCTCCGAATTGCGGCTTGTTACATTCTCTAATGCCGCGCACTTCTCCCCCAAGGCTAATTATTTATACACGTCATTAGCTCCTTTTTGTAGTATTTGATTCTTTATTTATTCATTTATTTATATATACTCTAGTCTTCAATGCCATTCCATGACTTTTCGTCATCGGATTTCGTTGCCGCTTCCAGGCTGGGCTTCGCCGCCGACGAGGTTCTGGTTGCTTTGCGGGGAGGCTCGGCAGACTCGCTTGACGGTGACCGCCCCCTCTTGTCCTGCCGACTGGGGGAATCGGCCTCTGTCGACAGGCGGCGCTTCTGCTGCTGCTTCTTGAACGGCGACGTGTCGTGGTCGGGCTTGGGGCTCGTTTGCCGTCCCGGCCAGTTGCTCTCTGGCTCACCGTTCCAGCGCGCCAGCATGTCGGCGACCTTGGGGCCCCAGACCTCTTCGCCCTTGCCCAGGTCGTCGTATTCCAGTGTGTTTGTGCCGCCGACTGTAAAGTCGCTCTGGCGCACGCGGCACAGCTCCGCCATGATGGCCGCCGACCCCAGCTTGGAGCCCAGGTCGTGGCAGAAACTTCTGACGTAGTAGCCTGATGACACGGTGAGCCGAATCTTGCACGCGGGAGGGCCCTCGTCGCTCCACGGCGGAGGTGTGCTGGAGTCGGGCGTGGCAGGAACCAAATTGGACCCCTTGTTAGAATAGACGGGCTGGGGCATTTGTCCAAGGGCCCCCGACATCAGGGCCTTGGGGTCTTTGCTGTGTCGACTTTTCTTGAGCGGGAGGTCTTTGATCAGCTCATCCTGCCGCTCCTCGAAGCGCCTCTTGAACGTCTCGTGCGCCGTTATGGCCTGGTCGTCCTGCTCCCTTTCCTCGGGCGTCAGCGTCTTGCCCGTCTCTTGTTGCTTCTTCACCCTCCACACTTGCTCGGCGAGATTACGCTCCGCGGCCTCGGCCTCGTCCGTTGGCCACCTGTGGTTGTGCTTCCCGGGCTCGTACCACTCGACGAGCTCGACTTCCAGCGCCTCTACTTGCCTGCCCTCAATTTCCCTGGGGATAGGCTTGCCCTCTCGGGCATATTCATAAAGCGGCTTCCCATTCATTTTAAGAGCCGAGTACAGTGGTGGGATCTGTGTCTGCTTGCCCCGGAAGCTTTCCAGCTCCTTCTCAACCAGTTCCCGGGTAACATGATCGTAGCCTTTTCTGGATAGAACCCTGCCAACTCGGTCGTAGGTGTCGGTGCTCACTCCGAAGACGACGGTCATTTCATATGTCTTGGTGCAGTCGAGAAACTGCGACAGCACCTTGGTGCCAGAACCAATGCCCAGGATCAGCACGCCGGTTGCCAGGGGATCCAAGGTGCCCCCGTGTCCTATTTTAACCTGTGATGCCTTCTTTTCGGCCTTTCGGCGATTGAATTGTTTGCCCGACTCCTTAAGCCGTCGCGCCAATTCGGCCTCAATCATGGGTCGGAAGAAGGTCGAAGGGTTGAAGGCTTGTTGGCACTCTCGCACCACCTGGGCTGAACTCTGGCCGCATGGTTTGTTGATGGCTGCGAGTTCGGGTTAGCAACTGCCACAGAGCGATGAGGGCCATGCTGTTGCGTGGGGCTATGCGCTGGGAAAGAATAGAAAGCGAGACTGAAGACTTACCAAAGACGCCATCACGGACGACGTCTGACGCCATTTTCAACACCTTTCCAGCTCGTCGCATGCGAGCGCAACTGGCACGTGTCGCGCAAATAAGGTAGCGATTGTGCGATTGAAGAGCCGCAGCTGCCTTGCCGGCGCCTGGTTACTCGTTTGGATCGAAAGCAATAAAAAACAGGATAAATCCGCTGCTGCAAAAGTCAAAAATTCAAAAGTCTGGGATGCCGTGTTGCTGTGATGCGGTGATGCGCCGCAAACTTTCCTGGGCGACCAAAGGGGAAACAAAAAAAAAAAAAAAAGTCGGCCTGCAACCGGGGACACCACAGGGAGGGGGGTCAACCGCAGTTCATTGGCCGAGAGGTCCTCCAGGCACTCACTGGCCCGGCAGCCGGGACCAACCAGACCAGACCAGTTCAATCGATGTCCACTGCCAAGGTGAATTGCTCGGCAGGCTCACTAGACTCTTTTTGCTGGGTGCGCTTGCCCGCCTACTACTTGGGTATTGATTATATTTAAAAGGTTCTTATATCAAAGGAAGTCACAGTAAAATATACTTACGTATTATAATATATATACTGACATATATTACCATTACCATTATATATGCAAGTATAAAGTCTAATGGCCAGGTAAGTACCTGGTGAGGCGTGACTCGTGTCGAGCGCACTTGCACCTAGCAAAAGGACATCAAGCCCGCCGAGCAATTCACCTGCCAAGTGCCAAGGTAGACGCTGCAGCGACCCGCCCTGCAACCGCCAACTGTCACGGTAGCCTGTCAGAGTCCCAACGCCCGGTTCACAAGTGGCATCGCAACATGGAAGCGCTGCCAACTCGCACTTGAAACTGCCCCGCCAATCGCCTCAATCCGCAATCCGCAATCCCCGTCGCGTGCCTCATCGCAGCACTTCGCGACTTCATCCCCTCCTCCGTCCACCAACCTGCGAGACATACCCAACGCCTTTCACACCGTCTCCTCTTGCATCATAGCCGCCAACATGACGGGGCGCAGGCGCAGGGCGTCTACGTCCAGCGTGGAAACCGTCGATACCTCGCAAATCCGCTGGCGTCAAGAGTCCTCTGTCGTGCGATCCGTACCTAAGGCCACCTCCTCCGACGACTGGCCCATCTTCGAGCTCCAAGGTGCCATCGTGCTGGATAAAGACGGCGAAAGGATCAAAAATGCCCTTCACGCCGGCCATGAAGGCCCATTCATTGTGAGGGGCAACCTCATGATCGATGATCCCGCCCAGAGGACGAACCGTAACATGGCCCATCCATCCCCATGCACTCCCCCAAAGAACTGCGTCTGATATTTGCCAGTCATTATGAGAGTTCGCGGCGCCACCCCGCTCGAGATTCGACGTTGCACATCCTACTCTATTGGAGAATCGCCAGATGGAAGACCGTTGATATGGGTTTCGGGCCAGGGCGGCTGGTACGAGATCGATCCATGTCCTGCCTACAAGCCCATGTATAACAAAATGTGCGAGGCAACAACCATGTTTTACAACATGCTTGACATTTATACAGACGACCCGCCGAGGAAGACCAAAAAAGCGAAAAATAGCGCCTTCACGGACGAGCTGGACCAAGTATTTCACAAGGTATCCTGGTTTTCCCTTTCCATTCGACATTGCCGTCACATTGGACTGACACCCGCAGTACGCCGCGCGCATTGGTGATGGCGCAACCCGGGAGGAAGTCCATGAAAGGGCCGACGAGCACAGTGCTTTCTTTATTGATCAATTCTCACAAGATGCCGACACTTGGAAGCCAACGGCCTTTTACAAATATATAACCACGAAGCATGTTGTAAGCTCATCTGGCTACTGTTTGAGTCTCTACGTCCGTGCGATGCTAACTCCTTTGCCCTTTCACCTCTAATAGGAGCTGAGTCACCGAATCAGAGAGGCAATGGAGAAGCTGCGTCTCCAGGTGCACTCATCAGACGCAGAACACGGCTCCCGAGAAAAGGCCCGCTCCCGCTCCATCAAGAGCAGCAGCGTCGAAGTCACCGACGAGAAGGCTTTCCAGGCAAGCCAAAGACCAAGACCAGCCTCAACCGCTCCCAAAACCGCTCCCAAAACTGCCGAGAAGCCTAGCCAAGAATCCACCCCAGCGCCAGTCCCCGTCATGCCACTCTACGTCCCGGGCGGGCAGGACGATGCCGCCGACTCGCCATTGCGCTCTGCCCTCGCTGCACTGGAAGATGTATATAGCAGTACTGGCGCCAGCAAAACTGGCATGACATATCGACAAACCCTCACCAAACTGTTCTTTAGCCGTTACTTCCCCACTTACAAAGATAGCCGCCCTGGCTCTTACAAACAGGGCGTCGAGGACGCCCTCCACTACTACTCCAAGGCTCTCGTTGAGACCCTGGACCCGAAATACCACACTCACGAAATATTTAGCATACTTCAGGAACTGGCCACGACCCCCTTCCAACCACGAGCATACAAACCATCCGACTTCCCCATCATTCTTGTCCCCCGTAAATCACAACCTCGAAAGGGAACCGCCTCGCAACAACCTTCCATCGACCCCAGCGGCAGTACCGATGACCACCCTCAACACCCTTCTGCTGTGCCGGAAACTCCCAGGCCGCAAGGCAAACGTCCTACACGCACGCCCGGGAAATCCGCCCTGCGCCCCGTAAATCGCGCTCCGAAACGACCCCGCGATGAATTCGAAAGCGATGATAATGGATCCCCCGGCGCCAAACGCTCCCACTACTTCGCCGAAGACGACTCCATGGACGGTGCCCCCGACCTCAACTCCCAGGATGAAAACGACGCGGACAACGATGTCGGCGCCGACAGCAGGGAAGCAAAATCCAAGTTCGGCATAGAACTTATCAAACTCGTCATCAGGGCCGACCGGATTCCCGATTCCTCCCCCCGCGGTCCCCACGACATGTGGACCTGCGACGAACAAGGATGCGACTACATAGTCCGAGGAGGCGACCACGAAGAGTGCCAGCAGAGAATCCAGCAGCACTTCAGGGACCACGAGAAGCAACTCGCACGGGTCAACCTCGCCATGACGGAGGGCGCCCGCAACCACATGCCCATCAAGTATGCCTACTTCCCCCCGTTTCTAATCCAAGTCTGCTTCGATGCCCCCTTGCCACGTCACTCCTATCCCGTACCCCCGCTACCTCTTCCTCCATCCGCCCCGCCCCGTTCCCCGTCCTCCTTATTCCCTCCCATTGCAGCAGCAGCAACGGCAGCGTCACAGGGCACGCCGGCAAGCACGCCAGTGTCCCCCGATCTAAGTGGATTAGCGAGGGGCCGTTTCCGCGCTCTAGTCGAGCGGTTTCGCAGAAACAACAACCCCCGCCGCAGCGCCGCGCGATCGAAAAAGTAAGAAGAAAACAGAAAGTCTAACTTGCTCCCAGCCATTTACTCGAAAAGATTAAACAGATAAGGGACGAGGAGGAACAGGGTATACAGCCGATTAAACGGAAGCTGATTGTCTAATATGGCCAGGTCACGCTGTACATTACATGCATATATGTACCTTAGAAGGCGTTCGGTTTGATATCCATGTGAATACGAAGTTTGTTTTAATCAAGTACCCTTATTGATGTAATGTACACGCCCCATCCAAATACCAACTAGACTAACCTGTACAACCCATTTCATGACGGGGGGGTTCTCACTCCTGGGCGCCGCCTGGTTGCGCCGCCGCCTCGCTTGCGGCGTCGGCCGTGCTTGTCCACCGGCCGTTCTTGGCCTCGGCAACAAACGTCTCCTCTATGGCGGCTAGGCGCTGGAAAACACGGAGCCAGCGCTGCCCCCACCTCCGGATCATGGCCTCCCGCTCCGAGGACCCGTCCCCGTCCTCCATGAGTTGGTCTTTGCTGCCCGAGGCCCAGCTGGCTAGGGCGTCGTTGATGGCGGCGAACAGGTCGCGCATCGAAGAGACCTCCTTGTCGCGGGTGTCGGCGTCTGCGTCGGGGGACGTGAGGAGCTGGCGGACGCGCCCGCTCACCTTGGCGACCGTGTTGGCCACGAGCTCAAAGATGTGAGAGCGGCCGAGGGCCTCGCCGCCCTGCGTGCCGTTGGAGGGGCTGCTGGCGACGAGGGTCCAGTCCACGATGGAAAAGGGCGTCAGGATGGAGTAGTTGAGGAGCTTTTCGATGATGGTGATGGCGACGCCCGGGTGGGCGGCCCAGTAGTTCATGATGGACGAGATGATTTGGGAGCGGGCGGCCGGGTGCGCGGTGCCGACGTCGATGAGGCGGCCCTTTGTGCGGTCGATGCATGCGAGCACGTGGCTCAGTGATTTGGATCCAACCCAGCACACGGCTGTCATGAAGACATCTGTGCTGGCGACGACGGGGTCGAGGGCTTGCTCCTTGGCTTGGGCTTGGATGCTGTCGATGAGAGGCTGGATTTCTTCATCTGGTGCTTTGCGTCGTAGGAGGGTGCTGATTTCTTGGCCTTCCTTGGCAAAGGGGGTATCTGTATTACGGTTAGCCTTGAATTTTTTTTTTGGCCATTGATCCCAGCAGAAGGTTGACATCCTCTGATACGTATACTTACCAGGATTTGTATATTTGAAATCAGGCACGTCTTTCTCCTTGTCAGGCCCAATAAGGGCGTGGTATGGTTTTGGAAGCGTCTTTTGGATTCTCTGTGCAAAACTTAGCCGAATCTCCTTGTCCAAGGCGCCGAGCAGGAACCATTTGCACGGGTGGAGGTCAGGTAAGACAGTATCTTCGGACCACTCAGCCCACTTCCAAGTGAACCCAAAGTTGCTGAGATGATGTGAGAACCAATCCAAAAAACGGTAGCTGAGTTCAAGATCTGTCCGCGGCATGTTGCGGTACAGGAACCGTATGGCTCTTCCAAGACTGGGGGCAATAGCTGCTGGCGCAAGTTTGCAGGCTTCAGTCAGGACGGCGTGATAGTATACGACCTTGTGTTCAGACTTGGGAAGCTGGAAAAACTGTGAAAAGACGGCATCCACTGCAACATCTTCGGGCTTCCATGTTGAACGATGATCGGGCTGGTTGCGCAGCTCGTCGAATGGAGTAGCCCGCTTGACAAACGTCCCGTCGGCGAAGTAGCAATCAAGATCCATCAAGAATCGAGCAGTAGCATTTCTGTTGAAGTGTAAAACGTTGATGGTGTCGGCGAGTGCATCACGGATAAGAGATGCGGCAATGTTGCTCGGAGGCGGGACCGATTCGACCTCTTGGCCACCGTACACAGAGAAGTAAATCTCCGGGAACAGCAGGCGAGGCCCGGCGATGGCTGTGGGAGGAACGGCAATCGCGGGGAGTGCATGCTTGGCCGCATTCGCAAGCTTCTCTTGAACCTCGACCTCCTCTAGCGGCATTTCCCAGGGTCGAGGGATGCAAGCAAGCGCCCAGTTCTTGGACGCCTCGGCCTGCAGCTGTTTCTGGAGCAACATACACAGGTTCATTGATGAAGCGGGGCTTTCGTCGTTTCCTTCGGGATGGAACGGATCGACGAGGGCTTGGAGAGCGTGTGGTTCGGAAGCAATGACGTCCGTCTTTTCCATAATGTCCGCGGCCTGTTGGATGAAATGACCTGGCGCAGCAGCCATCGCATAGGGAATGGTAAGAAGAATAATCTTGACGATTTCTGTTCCGATAACCTGCACTCCAAGCATTAACACAACCAAAAAGAACATGATGCAACTTGGCGAGCCAAGGACACTTACATCATCCGAGCTTGCAGTCTGCAAATCCGCAGCCCTCATAAACAACTCCTCCAACAACGGAAAGATGCCACTCCCTTCCAAGCACCCTTGCAGGCACGCCAGCAGCTTCAGCAGAAGCTTCACCTCTCTCCACTGGCCCTTTGCGATATTCTCCTCCAGCCCAGTTGCCAGACGGGCAAGCACCACATCCACCAGCTCCGTCTTGAACGCATTGGCCACCACCACGACGGCACCGACAAATGGTGTTTTGAGGGGCTGCTCCACGGCCAGCTGCAGCGCAAGGTCGACAAAGTTGTTGCGCAGGTTCTCGTCGTCGTAGTTGTCCGTGACCATTCGCGCAATGGACGTGACCTCCTCGGACCATCGGCGCAACGGGGAATCGGCAAGGCTTAGCAGTTGACGTCGAAGGCGGACCCCCACAGGCGCCGAGTCCACGCGTCGGCGCTGCTGACGGCGGTCATGGTGATCATCGTCATCTGCGTTGAGAGCTCCTTGTTAGTCTTGCCGCGAAGGGGACCAAAGTAGCCTCTCTCTTGGCCAAGGGAAGACGTGCGACCAACCTCTATATCGCCTCTTGCGGTTGTTTTGCCCGCCAGACTGGCGTTTATCATAGTCCGCCATTGCGCAGTCGCCAATAGAGCTTGCGGAGTGGTATGCTCGTGCCAATGGGTTGTCAGGGCAGGTATCGATGTGGTCTCACGAGGGCTGGCGATACTTTACAGAGCTCAGGTTGGGAAGTGACGGCTGATCCACAACGTTCAATGTTGGTTCGAGGTCGCGTTGGTGCCTCAGGCAACTGGAGTTTATTATCACACCAGACAACCGTGACCCAACTCGCATCACACAAAGGCCCAGCTATGAAACCCACTCGTATTACGGAGCACACAGAGAGGAGGAAAAAAATCAAGTCGCTTTGTTTAAAACACAGCTTCTCATGCAAATAGCTCATATGTTGATGCAAATCCCAAGGTAGGATCCAACTTGGGAATCAGAAATCCGTCCTTCCAACCTCGTGGTATATAGCCAGGTCCACAGCCGCATGCTGGAAACAGACAGTCAAGACACCATCCGTAGAATTCGTTGGCCAAAAGTAATGACACCTCAAGTAAATCCTCTTCTTTTCCTTTTCTCACTCTGATGTCAAAACTAGTACTCCTCCAGATACCAGATACGCTACTCATAAAATATTGCCCCACCCATTATCCACACCTTGTTCCGTTTCTCGTGGTCCTATGCAAGACCAGTGATGCTGAGTCCAGGCCATCTCCATATACCAATCGTTCTTCATCAACCAGTGCTGACAAGACAGCCCACGGCTAGTCCCCCCATTCTCTTCTTCGTTTTTTTTTTCGTCCCCGCCGCAACAAGAAGTCGTCAACTCAAGGTTCGTGCAAAAACAGACATTGATTGAACAAAGCAAGCCAATTCTTCCAAAACCACAACACCAAAAGAACTTGTGACACATGGACAGCGGAAGAAAAGAGGAAAAAAGCGAAAGTGATAGCCTCCCTTTGTTGTCATGCATCGGAACTTGGTCTAAAGCGTCATCATCTCCCCTCCCATTTCACATACAGCCACCTTGGCCGTTTTTCCCAAGAGTATATAGATTAAACCCGGTCGCCCTACAGAAAAAAAAACCGGATCCTCGAGGATCATCATGATCGCTTCTCTTCGTTACAGATTGTGTCTCGATCCAATTCCCTAGAACACACTCCCAAAGCCCATCTCGCTTGGTGACTGACCGACTGTTGCACGCAAGTGTTTGCCGAATCAACCATGCCAGTCTCGAGAGCACAAAGTCCTCCTCCCGACATCTCGTTCTAGCTGTCACATCGAGCATCTTCCCCAGTTTTCCACTTGCAGCTCGATGCCGGGAGTGGATGGGGCATATGTTCCAGAGCCGCTTGATGCCGCATTAAGCAACCAATGGCTTGCTTCCTCTCCTGTCTGCTTGTGTAAGCAATCAGTCCAGTTTGGCAATCATCTCCTGCTTCGTCATCGGCGTGAAGTTGTCGATATCAAGTCCTTGTGAGGCCAAAACCGGTTTAATGTGAGCAGGAACAAGCTGTGCGTTCAGGTGCGGCGCAATGGACAGCTCTATGGGGAAAATACGGGTTAATCACATTAACGTAGAGTAGAGTTTATGACGAGTTAAAACAAAGCTGATGCTTACCATGTCGCGTAAAGTCGAACAGAGCAGGCAGGTCTCGGAGCTGACCGGAGCCATGTCGTGAGTCAGGCAACTTGGTGCCTGGATCCCGGAGCTCGTCGAAGAATGGGTGTACCATTGCGTCAATGGCTGATTGTCGCTCGGTCGGCGTATATTCGAGCAATCTTGCAATCAGGTCAATTGCACTCGCATCTGCCTTACGGAACACCTTATTGAACGGGTGAGGCTTGATCTGAGGAAACTTGTGCTCCATATAGTTGGGGTTCATGGTACGGATTTGCTCTCGCGTTGGCGTGCCAAGGACCTTGATAATTTCGACTAATTGGTCAATACCAGACTCGCCAGGAAACAATGGCTGGCCTAGCATCAACTCGGCCATGACGCATCCAGTTGACCAAACATCTACATTTGAAGTTAGCGGTGTCAAGTCTACTGATTACATTCCGGGATATGATTCCATACCAATCTTGGTCGTGTAGTTGGTGGCACCAAAAATGAGCTCGGGGGCACGGTAGTATCGAGAGCAGATATACGAGACATTGGGCTCGTTCTCGACAAGGATCTTGGCGCTACCGAAATCGCACAATTTAAGAATACCACTGTTAGGGTCGAGTAGAAGATTCTGGGGCTTAATATCACGGTGGCAAATTCCTTGGGAGTGAATGTATGCCAGTGCTCTAAAGAGTTGGTACGTATACAGCTTAACTTCCAGGATGGGCATGGTAGTCTTCATCTTGTTGAAAAATCGAGACGCTCGGTAGACGGTTTCAGGAACAAATTCTTGGACCAAATTCAGATAAACTTCATCTTTCTTGGGGTTGGTTAGTAAGGAACACAAACTGCATTGCTAGTAAGTTGGTACGTACCCTTTCACCGTTGGAGTAGTAAAAGGCTTTGAGCTGGACGATATTGGGGTGTCGGACGATTCGCATTATTTGGAGTTCACGGTTCTTTGGTGCGTTAGTCGATTTGCCTTTTTTTTTTCTCTCATCGTCATGTGCTCATCACCAACCTTGAATCTCTTGTCTTGTAAAACCCGCTTGATAGCGGCATCTTCTCCTGACGGAGACAGCTTGGTTTGAAACACTACACCAAATGAACCATTGCCTACAATCTTGCATTGCGTGTATTGCAAGTCCCTGGTTTCTCCTGTAATTCCATCTTGAACCTTCTCACGAATGACCTCTGTAGCACAGATCAGCAACTTGAAGACATTGTAGCAAACAGGGAACAAGGCAGGGCGAGAGTACTAACCCCCCATCCTGAGGTTGTTGAATGCATTTGGCCGATGAGACATCCTTGGTGATATGAAACCAAAATCAACAAACTAGGGCTACCGGGTATCGACAATCAAGAACCCGGGTTGAGAGGAGATGTAAAGGATAGACTCAAATGCGGCGTACCGGGCCGTGGTGGGCAACTTGTCGAGCTGGTTAAATTGAAGAACGAGAATAGTCGGTGCACAGGGGCACAGGGGCGCGCAAGACAGGCGTGGATAGAACTAGTGCCAGTGGCCAGGTGGTTGGTTATAGGAAACTATCGTCTCGGGGTATAATCGAGGCGACTGTGATGACGGATAGAAAGCGCAAAAAGAAAAAAAGGTCGAGGTCTCAAATTGCACCTATTGCAGATGAAAAAGAAAGCAGAACCAGTCAGCGTAAATGTTTTAAGTCGCTCAAGTAGCGAATAGCAAAGGGGGGGAGAAAAAGACAAAACAAGCAAATTCGAGCATTGAAATCAGTCAAAAGGTCGCAAAAGAGCATCCGCCTGATGGTTGTCATGCTACCATGTACTTCCTTTAGCTAGCAATCAATAGTGTACAGAAATGCTTGGGCCCCAGACAAGCATGTGAGGCCGTATTCGACGCCGCCAACACGCCAAAGGACGCAAAAGATGCTATGATAGCGTCGGTACGCCAAGGTTGAGTTGATACTCAAAGCACGGGCGTAGCAGCACAAGCTGTCACCAGACACCCAGTAGCACCCATTTGACAATGCCCAAGTTGGCTTCCCCGCAATTTGGATGAAGATGTAGGCAGTCTGACGAAGCCGTATTGCAGAGCGAAAAATAGCAGCAAAACGCGAGCGCAAGTCGTCCAAGAATTGATAAGGATACGCGAAGGACACGGAGGGTATGATTTCTAGGTACTATGGCGAGACGAATGCGAGTGGGACGGAAGCCGAGTGCAATTGACTGCGAAGCAAATGGTGGGGTTTTGGCCATGTGCCCCAGACGCTGGGAGGATTTGCGGCGCACAATTGTTGCAAATGGCGAGCAACGGAGAGTCGAGCAGGGTGGGAAGCAGGCATAGGCAGGCAATTCCGCGATTCCTTGTCGACGGGGAGCAGCAGGCAAGAAATTGCAACGGATGGCGCATGTGAGGCAAAATAAGCCCGCACCAAGACAGAAAGAAGGACGTGAGGGGAGGGGAGGCACAAGGAGGATGCAAACGAGACAAACAAGGGACAGAAAGAACTCACCAAAATGGGATTCAAACGGCGGCAGGAGTGCGATTCGGTCGGCAGCGTGCGTCCAGGTCGACGCAGTTGGGATCGGGAGACAAGAAAAATAAAATTAGGCCTGGTCGAGTCGAGCTGGCAGAGATGGGAGAGAGCAGATGGATGGGTGTTGGCGAGGGCAGCGGGTGCGAGTGGGAAGAGGTCAAGTCGACGCTGGTACAGGCACGGAGTAGCTGGTGCTGATGGTGCGAATGGTCCGGCTGGCACTGCGGGGCAAGGCACGAACGAGGCGGCGGCCGATTCAAATGCTGGCTGGCTCAATGTCGAACGGGAGCTGGAGCTGGAGCTGGAGCTGGGGCTGGTGCCGGTGCTGGTGCTGGTCGAGCGGGTGACTCGAGGTGACAGGCGACAGGCGACAGGCGATAGGCGACCGACTTGATCGCGGGGAGGTGAATTGCGTTGATACAACGTGTGTGCAAGTCACGACGGGCTATCTAGGCGTCGCGGGTTTCGACAAGGACGGGCGGCGCGACGCAGCGTCGGGCAGTGTCAAGCTGTCAGGCGGCGAGGCTGGTCCGATGGCAGTCGCGGAATGCTCCAAGATGGACCAAAGTCGTGATGTGTGGTGAGTTGCAGGAGAGGCAGAGCTCTTCAATGTTTGTGGTCTGGTGGTGGCCACGGCGGCGTCTGGAAGGGTCAGTCAATTGCTCAGGGTCAGGAGGGCGTGAGGCTTGAGGCTTGAGAGGGATGGGCCCCCCTCAGACCCGCTTCCACTTTGCATCTTCACTTGCGCAGGGGGGAGCTCTCGCCAAAGGACGGAGGACGAACCAGATGACGCTCTGCTGCAGTCTGCACAGGCAGAGCCTTTGTTATGCCGGGCGTTTTCGAGCTTCAAAGTTCCAGGGCGCCGGCACAATGCTCAATGCTCAATGCTCAATGTTGAACGTTCAATGTCCAATGTCTACGGAGTACCTACGCAGGTGCTCGAGTATTCAATGTTCAATGTCGGTGCGGGGCACGCGCGCAATTCAACCACTCTCTCCACTTCTGCCTTGCTGTGATGTGATGTGATACCCTTTGCCCTTGGAGGCCAACTCGATGTCGCGGCAAAGAAATGGCAGTCTCTGGTTTGCGTCTTGCAAGTCTCCCGTCGAGCTCTCCAAGTGGCTGGCGGCGCCTTTTCGAGTCCCACCCTGTGCGTGCAGCTGGGACCAGGGCAAGGGACTGACTGACGGGGGGGGTCAGAGCAGCTAGCAAGCTCCGGGTTGTTGCTGGGATCGCGAGAGCAGAGCTCCAAGACGACGACTTGAGACGGCAACGGTGAGATGCGCGGCGGGGTGGTGTATCCTGGCTTGCGTCGCGAGGATCTCGGCTGTGTTGGAGCAGGCCGGACGTTGCAGAGCCTATCGTGGTGTTTTCAATCCAACTGTCGCCGTGTCAGCCTTTTTCGTCGTCAAATTCCATCCACACAGCCAGACCGAGCAGCCCACTTGAGCACTCCAGCAGCATGCTTTGTTCCGGCCCAGCAGCGGAAGTGGCGTGGACCATCAGAAGTAAAAATTCGCTGGCCCCGTGCCACTCTGGCGCCCCAACCCACGCCTGGAGACTCGACGAGATGGGCCAACAAGCCATGCTCACGTTCCACTGCAAAGCGGTGCAAACCCGACGCCCAATAAAGTCAAATTCGCGCTGCCCTCTAGCTCCCGGGAGACGGTTCTGCTCAAGGGCCATGGGCTCGTGCTCGTGTGCTCGTGTGCTCGTGCTTGTGCTTGTGCTTTGTGCTTAAAATAAATTTCAAAAATAGAAGAATGAAAAACCACAAAAACTACCATCTCGACAACAAACATCGCGGCCCGCCAGCCAACAGTTCATTCACGGCACATTCATCGTCCCAGGGCATGGCGGGAACCGTCTCTGCAAAGAAGCCCGAACCCGGCCCTCCGTACGGACGAGACCAAAACAGCAGGATGGGGAAAGGGGGAAAGGGCAAATGTAAGTGCAGAATGCTGATGGTGCTGGCATTGGGTACTGTACCTTTTGAATACCGCTGCAATCGACCAACTCGACGTCAGTGAATAGGACAATGGCTCTTCCGGGCGTTTTGTTAGCAGAAACAGACAAGGCACCGAGCACGCTTGGCTGTCTTCCAGCGAGGACAAAAACAAGGGATTCAAGAACAAAGATATGGCCGACGACAAGCAGTTTCAACGTTTGAAAAAAACAGCGTCAGGGGCCGCCAATGCGTTGACACTACTACTAGTTACTAAGAAAAAGGATATCCACAGGGGGCGTGACAAGATGCAGCATAAAAAGAAGCAAGATTGCCATCACCTCTGTACTTGCATCTCTCCGAGTACTTTATCGACGGTCCATGATGCTACTTTGGACGGAGTACGGAGTACAGAGTAGGACTTGAGCAGGCATCTTACACCGTGGACGCCTCAACCCGGTCAACCCAGAAACTCGCCGTACTAAAATGGGGTAGACCCGCAGCGTTGGGCTTGGGAGTGCTCATGTGCTCATTTTTGAGACGGGCAGCATGGCGCTAGGCGGCCGGCAAGCGGAAGTCAAAAGAAACTGGCAGATGCTGGCCCAGATGTCCCGTCATCGTCTGGTTCCCTGCAAGATCAATTGAGGGCTGATGCACCACGGGTGCAACGCAGAGGCCGCGCAGAGGCCACCCCGCCCACGAACAAGGCACCATCATGTCCCCATACGGCAGCGAAAAGAGGGCAAGGCACGCCATGACATGACATGCCAAGCGTCTTGATACCATTGCGGCTCCTTGGTGCTTGAGCTCTTCTTATTGCGGGAGTGACATTCTGGTGTACCGTACCGAGTATGCCGTTGCTGATGCTAGTGTTGCCCCTGACGTTCTTGACCTGCGTCATGGTCACGGGGACTTGTCCGGCTTTGGTCCCTTTCGACATGGCCTTGGATATGTCCGTACCTGTCTGACCATCGTCTTCAAGAGCCTAAGCTAGCGTGGCTTTTTGCATTCTTTATAGGGAAACAAGTCGTGTCCAGTTGTTTTGGGACGTCGTGTATGTGCTTCTGAAAGCAGACGAGTCTGGGTCACCTTGGGGGTATTCATTTCTGGAGAGAAAATAGTTTGGAAGGAGGTAAAAAAAAAAACCTCATACGTGAAGTCTTGTTTGCATCCCAGCGTTTCCTGCGCCATTTGTGGCAACTAGGATGCACCTTTGATAAGGACAGATGCGGTACGGAGTACGGGTGACTCTGTTATGCATATTAACCCATCCACGGAGATTTCGCTTTTGTGCGTTCTTGTCACTGGCCATGACGGCCTACGGCTTGTTGGTCGCCCGTTGGTCTTGTGTTGGCATTGGGTTGTCAGTTTACCTCTCCCATCAATCCCTTGCCTCGCTCCGCCTGCCCCTGTCCCGGCCGGTGCTTTGGTCAGCAGCCTAGCCCAGTTTTCCCAAACATGCCCCGTTCATGATGTCCTGTCGCCCTATCACCTGACCATCGGGCAGGGGCTCATACGGCCCAGACCAGCCCATTTGCTTTGGGATTTCCCAGCTGATCTAATCTCGGATCTCCGTCGTCCAAAAAACATGGTGATATTGCATTGAAGACAGCTGCGGACTTGTCTGGCGCTTCTGTGGGCAGCAACACTAGCTGCTTCAACCGACCAGGGAACCCGGGCTTGCTGGCAAAATGTACAGATAGAAATGCCTCGACGCTACTGGCAAGCACCGCTCCCGGCTCACGCTACAGACAGAGCGCGTGGCGATTCCGCTTGGGAGTGAATGCACGAAAGCTGGTAGAGAGAAACTACGAAGTACCTGTCAATGTATTAGTCCCTTGACATAGCCACACTGCACATGTAAAGATGCAATCTTGTGTACGGAGTCGAACAGTTACTACTACCTAGTAGGTTTGGTACCATGTTCTAGTCGAGTACCTGGGTGGTCGACACGATCAACGCTTCATTATTGCATGACCGTGTGTCGATTGCCCGATGAGTCGGTCGATGTGCGTTCCTGGCCCAAGTCCTGCCGCCACCGGTTCTTGTCAATTCATGCGGATTGATGCAGCCACGAGATAGAATTGTTCCAACAAAGAAGTCGTCAACTGACGATGGTTTGCTTTCTGAGTCGCCCGGGTACCAGACGTGGTTGGAAAGTTGAGCCGGCAGGGGATGCTCGCTCCTTGCCGGATGATTTTGGTTGCAATCAAGTCTTGGTTTTGTCCAGCGCCCTTGGCACCGATACTGGTTGATCACCACACCATACTTTCTGGTCTTGCACACCATGTTTTTGAAATCCTCGGGTCATTGATGCCCTTGGGGAGAATTATCACTTCAGATCTGTAACTTGTCTACGTGCAGAATTCGCATGGTCGCTTGTTTGGGTGTCTGCACCCCCAGATGGAAAGCCACCGGTTGGGTTGGTCCTGCGGACCCCGTCCATGCAGTTTTTGAGCGCCCATTGACCAAGGGTCGAGGCATAACAGCAAGAGAACTACGTACTACCCTTTACAAGCGGCAGCCTTCCGCTGACGACATGGCCACATGAATACCCTTACTGACGCTTTTCCAACGGTTTCTTAGTTCTAGCTTGCAGCAGGGACAAGCTGTCATTGAGGCTGGACGTCCTTGACGAAACTGCCCTCTTGAACTGAGCTCCGCTCTATGTGTCTGCCTCCCTCAATTACGAAGATTTCAGGGCCGTCGCCGTGTTCAAGGGCAATGTCAAATAATTGCCGTTCAACACGGAACGTTTGCTCCCCAGAAATGGATCGCCTTCCTCCACGAGCTTCATCCCAGTTACCGGCCACCCGTGCGGGGCGACTTGGCTTGCAAGTGGACCAGATGCAACTAATAAGTTACGGAGTGCTGCTGCAATGTTTTAAAGGGTGTAGTTCCTGTTCCGTCAACGACCACGACCATGGCGGCTGCATTTGCACAATATCGGAGTAGGTTGCCCTACATGAAAGCCACGATCCATGGGCCCAGTGCTTGTCCCTAGTATTCGACGTATCATGGTGTGCCAATTGCCCCTGCGCGGGCGAGAGTGGAGGTTCACATCATCTAAACGAAGAGGCAGGCCACCCATACTCGAGTTGTGAGGTGGATGATGTTGCCCCGCGCTCAATTGACTTTAACCAGGAGGCTTGTACGGCACGCGGAGCATCGAGGCATTCATAATACCTAGGCATGTATATGCCCTCATTGGTGCCGCCAATCAGCATTATTGGGCCGTATAAAAGCTATGCAAGGAAGAGAGCATCGCGGAGAGCACCGCGGAGAGCACAATACCAAACAATGCCAATCTATTCTTTGACTCTTGCTTCTCTGCGTGGGGGCCGCGATACATAAAATACCGCCAAGCAAAAGACCGCCAAGCTCGACTACTATTCGTCTCACCAGTGGGTGCCTCGCCCGCCATTCGCCTTGCTGCCCCTGTTTTCTTGGTCACGCTACAACTCGACGTCATGGCTGGGCCGTTGGCGGGTGTCAAGGTTACGGTTTGGAAACCTTCAGGCTAGTTACTGCGAGTCCTTCACCAGGAGGTCTGTCATGGGACTCATGGCACGGCAGACCAAAGATGAGCACAGACGTGCAGTTCGACACCGTCGTGTTTGTGTTCCGCTAATACCAGTGCGTCCAAAATGACGGTTACACAACGTCTGTCTGCCGCCACGAGACTGCCGGCCTGATTGTTTTGTTCGGCTGGTGCGCGGCTCTTACGAGGTTATTTGCGGATCAGCACAAAATCTGCAATATGTGTGGAATGTCTGAAGGTCTCATGACCCTGCCATGCGGCGCTAAGGGCCGATTTAGGTTCGTCAGCGACAAACACTCATTCATGCCATCACCACCGACTACAACGACTAGCTTCTTGCTGCTTCGAGACAAAGAAAGGGGGGTCCTGGTGGTGCTCCCTTTTTTTTTTTTTTGCCGCTTGTGCAGTTTCGTGAGATCCTACCTCACTCACCAATCGATTCCACAGATCTTCCTCGCCAACTGCTCTAGTTCGCGACGTGGAGCATCGCCTGTTGACTTCCGGCTCTAGTATTTCAAAGACTGTATTGGCCCAGGCTTGCCGGGTTGCTGACGTGCAAGGCAATCTGCCAGACCATCGGCGACAGACTCCCGCAACCGAGAAGATGCAGGACTGGCCACTGAGATCCTTGCAGCCACAAGTAATGGTTCCACATGACATCCTAGGCGAAGCATTCTATTCGTAAGCGCCGGTCTGGTTGCGATTGTGGCTTCAGCAAGTACTCCATAGGTGCAGCTGTGATTCTGCAGGTGCAGTGTGTCCATACTCCGTAATTGAGGACCCTTTCGCCGCCACCACTTCTTCAAACAATGTTCGGAAATAATTTGCGCATCTCCGGCATTCGATTCTCAACACCATACGGCCTCATACGATTCCGACGGCCTTTGCACGTGCGCACAGATGTATTTGAATGTGAGTCAGCTGTACGCATCTTGACAACGTCCTGCGCAATGACAAGATTCGCACAGCAAACGAACGAAATGTACAATATGGGTTTCTGAAGATGCTGGGAACGAAACCCAATGTTATTTCAGATGCTGTGTTGACTTGATACCTCGCCACTCTCACCGGGCCACACACCTTTGGACCATGCTGCACAGTTTGCTAGTTTGGGTCGGCTTGTTCCAGGAACCGTTGGTCTTCCGTGCCTATTGGGCGACGAGGAACTTGACCTGATTATCTTCTGCTTCGTTGGAGCCAGGTCAGTCAGGCTCATGCAGCGGCAAAGTTGGGCAAAGCTTTTGGTCAGCCCACTCGTCATCATCGTCTTCAGCTACGTTAACCAGGGCGCTGCAAGGCCGGGATGAGCTATTGCATGGGTGAATATGCTGCAGGCGAAGTGTGCCCAGTGCGGCAGATGGTGGCCGGTAACGACTCTGGGGCGTGCCAGACGTCTTATATCTTGTCTTGGCGTTCACATGCACCTATAAGACGCCATTGATGAACTCTTTACACCAAAGAAAACAATTGTTAATGTCTCGCTCAAGAGAGGGAGCTGCATGGTACATATGTAAGGACGATCTCAATACCACTTTACGGCCGGCAAAAGCCCAGCAAGGGGCATTCTCGTCTCGCATCGGCACAATAGGGAGGCAGTATGTCCCAAGGGCCAAAGACAGGCACAGACTATGACGTGGAAATAGCTCACGATAGTGGGCTTTACCAAAACTCAAATGAAAACTTCCAAGATGAGCAATACCGATACAAGGTTGAAATGGCTTGCGAGTATACAGTGTTGATGTATTTCGGCAACAGCTTGACCAAGTTTTTATCGTCCGAAACAAAGGAGATGGAATCTTGCACACATTACCCCACATGCAATTGGGAACAATCGAAATGGCTGTTGAAAAAGGAATGCTGGAGCATGAGTCTTGGTAAAACGCTTTTGTCCCTTCTTCAACTCATGGGTGCTACTTTATTTCCAGGTTTATCACCGAGCAAACGCATTCGCGAGATACCTTGTACTGTACCGGCTACCTAGGGAACCAACATGTATATACATACATACGTATATACAAGGTATGTACATATGTGTAGATATAAAGTAGATGAGACCGAGATCCAGCTCTGTAGCTTAAGTAGGCCTTGGTGCTGATTGCAGTGAGCATGGCCACAACAACGGAGTCGATGCATTACAAGGCCAACGATTTACAAACATACAAGAACATCAAGATTCGGCGTCATCTCCTCGTGGAATATCAGCATATTTCAACAAGGTATAATAGTCGGATTCTAGACTCTCCCTTTCTGGCCGACTGAAGCATTCCTGTTGCACCGAAACCGCTCATGTCACCGGCTCCTCGACATTGGGGAGCAGACAGCATCTTCACCATCCCAGGGAACACATTCAAAACCCTCAAAGGTGAATTCTTTGACCCATTCAAGTCTGCCGTATCACAGAACCACCAAAGGGGCCTCGACAGACCTTTCCAAGCAGCCGGCGTAACAGCCAGGCAAAACCCACCGCAAATCGAACCTCGCCAACAGCATCGCCAAGCAAGCATATCATTTTTCCTACTCATGAACCACCAGCAGGTAGTAGCAGTACTCCCCTCTCCCACGGGGTCACGTTTTTGACAGGGCAGACTTGGGGGCGAGAAGACGAAAGCCCCCTCGTCGCACGACGCCTCCTTGTGCGCAGTTTCACCATGCTCACACACGCCTATTGGGCCTTGCATCCTACATGCTTCCTTTTTTCGTCCTGTGCTGGGTACGGAGGAGCTAAGCAGGTTTTTTTTTATTCCTTCACTTCCTAGTCTTTTTTTAATGTTGTTTACCCCCCCCCCCCCCCCCCTTGACTATCCGTCTCCTCAATTACTCCCGGCGTGCTGCAGTTAACTTATTTTATTTTATTTTATTTTATTCTATTTTATTCTATTTTTTGGTATTCTTCTTACACCCTGCTGGCTGGCATCTGCGCGAACAAGTCGGCAGGGATAGATGGCTTTTCACCTCCCGCGCATGTGTGCATGTATTGTACATGGGCAAGAGGGCTTGGCGGAGCGGGCGTTTGGAAGCAGGATGCATGGCGTACAAGACACGCTTAGCTTACCCTGGGTAGGCAGAGCATCATGACGCTGCAGCGTGTTCGCGCCGTGGCCGCCAAGGGGAAAGAAGCGAGGCGGATGGAGGAACCGCAGGCCATGGTGGTTGAGCTCCTTCATTGGGCGTCATGCATCTGGGTGGCTGGCATCATGTGGTCATTCCGGGAACCGAAGGGGCACTCAAAAAGGCACGAGACGAGGGGGGGGCGGAGTGACAGAGAGACAGGGAGACGCGTTTGCAGCTGTTGGTCGTGTTCCTTCTTGTCGCTTGCGTGAACTGTGTGAGCGAGATCTACGCAGGAGGTAAGCATGAGTCGAGTTGCTCGAGGTGGTGCCAGGGTTGGCTCGTGGATTTCGTACCACCTAGAACCTCCCGTCTTGCCTTGGCCAAGGCATGCGCCGGACAGTCCGGTAGACAGCCAGGTGATGTAGTATAATGTGTGTATTTTTTTTTCACGTCCATGTTTAGCCCTACTTCTATCTCGTCCACAACTGGTAAATAGCGTGACTCTTTACGCCACTGTGCACCTCCCTGCCCTCCATGTTCCAATTTTAGAATTCAATCCTCATCGTCCACCTTGTCTGCCACCATGTCCTTGGCCGTATTAATCACCTTCTCAGGTGGCCGCTCCAACGGCATAGAGGGAGTGCTCATACCGCCTGCAATGGGACTCATCTGACCACTGCCGGGGATGCTGCCTGCTCCACTCGCCGGGATGCTGATGCCTTGCACCGGAGACTGCACGATATCCGGTGATCCAGGCAGCAATTTGGGATCGAGGCCGGGAATATGGATACGTTTGGCCTCATTTTGGTACGCAGCGGGAATGATCTCAATGATCTCGTCGCGGGGAAACTTGAGGTTGGGAATTTCCATCGTGGAACAGTGCATGAGATAGGCGTAGAGGACGCGGAGGACGGATTCGTGCGCGATAATGAGCAGGTCGTTTTGTTCGCGCTCGAGCTCGAGGATGATTGGCTCCAGACGTACGGCTAGGTCATGGTAGGACTGAAATCATGTGAGTGAGGCGTGTTTGAAAATAATAATAAAAAACACTTGCCGGTTATGAGTATGCATACCTCTGCTCGAGGATATCTGTGGTGATATGGGTCCAGATCACGCTTCTCAGCTTCCTCGGGATAAATCTTGCGAATCATATGCTCCGGCATGTTCTCACAAACACCGGGGTTGATCTGGCTCATCTGCGAGCGCAGGCGAACCTTGTAGCCCTTGTCTTTGAGGTAATCAGCCGTCTGGACCGTTCTCATTCGCGTAGACGTCCACACGGTGAGCGGTCTCAGGGGGGTCTGCTGGCCCTCGCTCTTCTCCATGCGCTCCGCGTGTTCTTGTTGGCGGTGCTTGAGGAGCGTCTCGGACATTCTCTGTGCATATGTTTTGCCCAGTTCACATAGCGGTGCGTCCGCCTTGTAGGAATCCTCTTCCTCCGTGGTGCCGGCGCGGACGAAGAAGGTGGTTCTTGATTTGATGTGAAGGTTGGTGAGGTAGAAGACGATCCTGTGGGAGAGGTAGTTGAAGCTGACGTTGTTGTAGAAGAACTTTGCGCCGGCGTTGATCATTTTAATGTAGTTGAGCTCTGCTTCATTCATGGTTTCGAATACGGGGATTCTCATTTCGATTCTTTTGAGGTACAGTTTGGCGGCCTCATCGGGGTCCATCCCCGCGAACTTTATATGAATATGTTAGTTTTTTTTCCGCGGGAAGCGGCGTCGCATTGCGCTTACGTCTGGAGATGAAATTTTGACATTTCTAGCGTTCTCACGGAGAATACGCTCATCGTCTACAAATGATTCAATAAACAGCGTCTTGCTTCAGTCAGCTTTGTCTGCGTCATTCGCGTTTTATGTGTGGGCTTGTGTTTTACCTGAACATCGTGTTTGCCCAGCTCCTTGGCAAGAGATCGGCGACCGCTAGCCGTTGGGTTCACGGCATCATAGATTGCCACTTGGCCATTTTCATGATTCAGCCAGGCGTAAATGTCTTCCCGGCACTTCTTCAAAATTTTCTGACGCAGAATAACGGATGATGGAGATGCATCGGGGAAGAAGTAGTCCTCGGGGACCGCACCTTCTGGGCCAATAGTAGCCCGCCGGTAGTCCCCAAGATGAAAGATGCGCGTCTTGACGCCGAGCCACTGCAAGTATCGCGCCAAAGAGACACAGATGTGCCTGCGTATGTTAGGTACATTTGCCGTTTGTAAGGTTGAATGACAGCACTAGGCTCAACTTACGTCTTGCCGCGAGCCGGGGGCCCAACCATGACGATGGCAATGCGCCCCGAGTGAAACAGCCTGCCGGACATGGTACTGTACAGCTGGGCGGGTGCCATGTTGTCATTTTCTGTCACATCATGAATACCGTCAATAAAGGTAGAACTCTTGCGGCGGTACCGCGGGGCGTTGGCCGCGATCTCGGCAGTTCTGGCGGCTGTTAGATTCCGCGTTCCTGGAGCTTTTCCCGTGGCATAGAAGAAGCAGTTAGGGGCAAGAGACTCACAATAATGTGTCCATGATGAGCGCGTGGATTCAAACGGCCCAAGTTCAAGGTTTGCCGTCTCGTCAGCTGGGCTTATCTTGGGTCCGCCTCGCCGTTGGGCTGAACTCAGCGGTCAAGCCGACCAAGGCGTCGTGAGCCGGGATCGATGAAGCAATGGCCAAAAAGAAGCAGACGGAGTGAGCGGCGAAGGAAGCTTGCACCGCTGCAGGTGTGGTATGGCGATAAGGCGAAGCTGAATCTATAACAATATGTCGTTGGAAAGAGGAGCGCCATGGAGGGGCATCAAGGTCCAGCCAGTTTCGGTGTCAGAGAGCCGTGGCCAACGATGTCCGGGTCGTACCGGAGGGCTTAGGAGGATTTTTAAGACACAAGCAAGAAGAAACGCGGCAACTTCAAGGATAGCGATAATTACTCAAGTACTTAGCATGAAATACTGACATCCTGTAACAGCGATGCAGCGCAAAATCGTCAATCCCACCAGACTCGAGTAGATCTGGTGCACCTGCCTGTAGGGTGGCATTTGATCGCGCAGCTGGACATTGAGAAAGAGGTATCGACTACCTGGCTCGTGTCGTATCTCGGCCCCCGGTTTAAGTTGCCGGTACTTTATCGTCAGTCTCCAGCTGCCAACTGACCGCCAGACCCGGAGGAGCGGGCGGCATCGGCACGGAACATTGAAGCTCCGCCCTCCGCCCTCCGTTCCAGCCTCTCAAGACGCAAACTCGTTAGCGCGGAGAAGAGTGCTGTGGCCCGGGCGGAACCACAACACACACACCTGGGCCCAGCTCCAGTCTTGCTCAAGTCACTGGCGGCTGATGAAAATTATTCTCCAACTCCATTTCCCCCAACGCCAGCGAAGCTCGTCATCGCGTTACCTGGCGACATCACCCCCGAGACAATTTGCCATCCGAGAGGCCCGGTCACCGCCTTGCAAATTGTTCTATCCATCAGGAAAGCCGAGTTTCCTGTTGTGTACTTGTTCTGTTTCTCCGCCGCGGCTTCTCCTTTTCTCGCCTTCACCTGTTTCTTAGCCATTCTTTAATACCGACGTCGTTGTCGACTCGAGCCACAACCCCGTCACCATGGCCGCTCAAATAGAATCCATTCGTTCCCTTCTCCTGGGCAACCCCGTCGCCGCTGCCATTGGCGATGCGCTCAACTCCTTTTCTGAGCGCAGAGCAAAGCTCGGCCTCTCCAATCCTGGCAACATGGAGGGCTTGTCCAAGGAGGTCCAGCGCGATGTTCTGCTCAACAACTACATGTTCACAGGTATCCGTGCCGACCTGACCAAGATCTTCAGCATGGCTCCGCTCTTCCAGGTTTCTCACCAGTTCGCCATGGGAGAGCGCATCAACCCGTACACATTCGCCGCCATGTACGGCACTGGCAAGGTGTGTATACCTACCTTTGCCGGAACTATGCATCTACAGACAAGGATAGATAGATTAACATGTTTTCTCTTAAAAGGTATTCTGCCAAGGCAACATAGACAACGAGGGCTCCCTCTCCGGACGATTCAACTTTCGATGGACCGATAAGCTCGTTTCCAAGTCTCAACTTTCCATCACGCCCGGCGGCCAGGATATGGCGCAGTTCGAGCACGAATACAACGGCGACGACTTCAGCGCATCTCTCAAGATGCTCAACCCTTCTCTTCTTGAGGGCGGCATGACTGGCATCTACATTGGCAGCTACCTGCAATCCGTCACCCCCAGACTCGCTCTTGGCATGGAGACTCTGTGGCAGCGACCTGCTCTGACCCAAGGACCCGAATGCGCCGTCTCTTACTGTGCCCGATACAAGGCTGATGACTGGATTGCTACTGCTCAATTGCAGACCGCCATGGGCACCCTGAACACCTCATACTGGCGAAGACTCTCCGACAAGGTCCAGGCTGGTGTTGACCTGAGTCTCGGCCTCGTCCCATCACCCGGCGGCTTGATGGGTGGTGGCCTGCAGAAGGAGGGCGTCACCACCATTGGCGCCAAGTACGACTTCCGCATGTCCACGTTCCGTGCCCAGGTCGACTCCAAGGGCAAGCTGAGCTGCTTGTTGGAGAAGCGTGTTGCGCCTCCCGTCATGATGACCTTTGCCGCCGACGTTGACCACTTTACGGTTCGTGTTACCCCCCTCCGCTAACTCTGCCAAAGCTCCTCAAGACACTAACAACAAGCTTCTACAGCAACAAGCCAAGATTGGCCTGGGTGTCTCTATCGAGGCAGCTCCCGAAGAGCTCCAGGACCAGCAGGAAGCCCTCGGCGCCCAGTCGGCCCCCAACATCCCCTTCTAAACCAGGTTCTCCCTTCAAACCACCCCCGGTCTCCGATAAACCCGTCCCGTCACATACAAACCCTACTCTACTCCTACCCAATGAGGTGAGAAGAGCAGCCAAACGTTATCAATGCTATCGCGGATGGAACAAAGAAAACGGCGCCCACCTTTATCTATTTTCCTGACCCTCTGTCTTATTACCCCGTTTCTCACTTCACCATTTCGAATCATGTACTCCGGATATTCCAGTTCCTTAGCAATTAGCGTTGAGCTCTTCCACAAGGGATTTCTTCACCGAGACTTGGAGACGAAAAGAAAATAAACCGCCACAAAGCGGCTGGCGTATGATTGCAGGCTTTTGCTTGGCCTGTAATCGTGTATATTATGGGAGGCGCAAACGTCGCAGGCCTCGATTAGTTGGGTGCATCATTAGTCGGGCGTTCGCCGACTCACGCGAGCATGAGGTGGCGATTTCCTCTTTTTTTTTATATCTTTGGTTGTACGTGGATGCATCTCGGGGCTACGAGGGATTGTAGCCTGCCACACAGGTGCCATGTTCGCTGTATAGGGAAGAAGAAAAATAGACACGAATGTTTTTGTAATATGCTCTGTGTTTGTATGCTAGTAGGTCTGTAGGAGTCCCCCTCTGTACTGCCCATAAACGCCTGGTATCTAAATGTCCCAATGCCGCTCATCCAACGGTGTCCTTTTCTCTTGCTTCATATAGTCATGTACTGTTTGCCACACGCCACGCCATGCATGCACGTTCTACCTCTATCAGATGTAAATCACATGACTGAACATTCTCGCTCGGGCTGCTCCCCGGTCTTTTGCTTTTCCGCCTTGTCCTTGTCCTTTGTCTTTCCACGGTGTTTATGTTTCTGTGTCTGCGGGGTAGCACCGTGCTTCTCCCCGTCGACAGGCGAGTCGGGGCCTTTGGCCGAGGTTTCTGAAATGGGGGCTGTAGAGTTGGAAGCCGACGTTTGTAATCCGTTGGACGGGGGAGGCTCAATGAGCGGCTCCTTGCTGGACTTCATGAGTCCGCCTAGACGGGTCATGGAGAAGCTGAGTCTTCCCTCGCCCGATTGGCTCTCCGGCCGGCTCTGTCGACCCAGTGCGAAGCGGGAGGCAGCACGGGACAATCTCGAGGCGGTAGGCTCGTCGCTGGGCGCCATGACGGGCGAAGCACCGCCTGGGGTGACGGCTGGCGATTCCGTGTTGGCCATGCTTTCTCGGCGGGAGGCATTGGGCGTGGAGCCTGTGTGGGAAGTGACCCAGGAAGGGTCAAAGGTTCCTCTGGCTGGGCGATCCATATCTGCAGATAACCGAATGCTAGGGGGTTTGCTTCTTGGGCCGAGGTCAATGGCTTGGAGATCGTCTCTGTGATGCCCCGTCAATCGGCCGAATGCAGAAGACGACAAGTCGCCATTGAGCTCCATGCTCGTTTTAGATTCATTGTATGACGGAGGGTTTGTCTCTGTGCCGTCTGTTGATGCGCGGGGCATGTCGACCATGGGGACAATTTGGTAGAACAGGAGGTAGGGCATCTCGACCTTTAACGCCTGCTTGATGTCATCCACGTAGGTGATGCGACTTTTCGCCTCCAAATCATCGAATTTCACCCACTGCGCCTCCTCATAATCTGGAGGAGGGTCAAAATCGTGCCGTCGGTTTCCAGTCAGAAGCTTCGGGGCAACTCGGGCAAAGGAAATGTAGTGGCCGCTGTGGAGGGAATCTCCTCGATGGCAGACCACGGACTGAAGCACGAGTTTGTATTCGGTGCTGAGCCCATAGAGGTCTTCCTCCAACTTGGGGCCCCCGGCAAGCATAAAATGCGGCAAGCGTAGACTGTCGGGGATGTCAATAAAAGTGTTGCGTCGTTGTGCTTGTCCAAATTCTGTCATGGCGTAGCGTTTGAGGCAGATACCAACCACTGGTCTCTGGTCGAAATTCAAGGCCACCTCAGAGTCGCTTCTAGGCTCGTTAGGCGTCAAAGCATGCCAGGCTGTGAAGTGTTAGAAAAGAACGTCATCAAAGCTAACCAAGTATCTAGACTTACGAATCAGTCGAAAGAATTGCCAAGCAGGAATTGTGACAGCTTTGACGACCGTTGAACCCTTGCGCTTGGTTCGTTTTTTCATGACTTGGCCCCCGGCGCCCGTTGGCCGGCCATCATCGTCCACCAGAACACGCTGAATAACACTAGTAGATCTTATCCGGGGACTAGTTGGCGAGCCTTCCTCTGTACCTTGGTTCTCGTGCGACGGGCCATCCTGGGAATGAACCCGAAAAACGCTATGGGACGCTGAGGCCTCGGACATGCTTCTTTCCATGGGATTGCCGAAAGATTGCTGTGACGGCGTAAGATCAACCGGCGAGGCAACCAGAGGTGATGTGCCTGCTTCTTCTGACCGAATGAGCCGGATAGTATTCTGGCTCAGGAGAGGTGAACCATCCCCCTTATCATCCATGCTGCCTTTCTTTGCTTCTTCATGATCTCGCAAAACATCAACCCTGGCGTTGAAATATTCCTCGAGACAATCCTCAAGCTTAATCCCCTTGCCATCGGGATCCGAGGGAATAGCCAGATTCAGGAGTCGCTCGTATACCACCTTGTGGTCATCCTTGTCACCTTTGCCTTGGTGAAAGAGGTCGACCTGCAAGGATAAAAGCGGAAGCTGCAATGTCTCGGTGAGAAAAGCGAAAGCCTCGGAAGTGTCCTGTTGTTCCAGGAGTTTGGCATCGGCCCACCCACAATCGCTTAGTGATTCTTGGATTAATTTTGTCTTGAAGCAGATCAGCTACTCGATGCGTTGCAACTGTCATGTAGGCAATCAGGCGCGGCCCTTGTGTGTACTCACCAAGTCGGTACGAATGAGCTTTCCCGATCGCAACATGTTGACCCATATACGCAGCAATGTAGCAAGTTTTCGTCTCGCGTCATCTGCCGGGAAGGTTGACTTGAGCATACACTCGAAGGCGTCGAGTTTGGCGAACATGGCGAATAGCAGTGAATCTAGGTAACATGTGACATTGCCTCGATTCTCAGCACCAAGCATGTGCACTGTGGGGTCGTAGGGCAAAATAATGCCTGAAGCGGATTTCTGTTCCAACTTGATAAACTCGGCAGTCTGCTCGGGGTCGTCTGGGGCAATGTTTGTCGACAAGATGTCCTTAATATCGTCGGCTGTGACATTTGATATGTGCATTTTCTCTAGGTGATGCTGAACAAGTTCAATCTGACATTGTCACCATCAGTAGCTGTTTCTATTTGCTTGGCGGTGCAGTCCAACCTTGGTGACATCGGGGTCGTTCTCGTCGGCGTCGGATTTCAAGTTTTGTTTCGAGCCGTCCATCTTGAATATGGCTCGGAAAGTGTCTGCGGAGAGCGGGCGCGCCTGGGGTTTTGGACATGGTCAGCATTCAGCCTTTGGGACAAGAATGTAGTAGCATTGGTATGTCGGGGGACCTGAATGTCTTGGATTGAGAACAATGGCATTGAATGTCAACAACAAACCCCACAGGAGTCCAGGCCGCAGGGCCGAGTCTGTAGAGTCATCGTGTAGATGTACCTTGTCCTTGTGTCCCGGAGGGACAGACTTGCTCCGACGGTGGATGGCATTCTTGTCGCGCAGGCTAAGAAACTTTCGAGGGAACTCTTTCATGGTGGGAGGCTGTCGCGGAAGTGCTTAGGACGCCGGCCACGACCACGACAGCATGAGAAGCAGGGAAGGAGGATGGAGACAGGTTCGGGCGACGCAGCGGCCTCGCAAGTGGTTAGCGAGACGGCAATGGAGCTCTGATTCCCATTTCAGGCTGGCGAGGGGGTATTTCAAAGCTGTTGGGGCGGCGGCGACGTCGAGCCCCGAATGTGTTGACTTGGGGCGGTTGGCGGGGGAGATCAATGATGGTCTTCGGAGGTGCTCGGCGGAAGTGGTCCGGGCAGAATGCAGAGGCTGTCACTAGAGAGGGACGAGATGGGCGGCGAGCAACAGTAGGACGAAGGATGATGATTCGAATGGAGGCTAGGATAAAGAGATGACCTTCTGCCTGCTGGGCGGTTGCGAGAAGATATGCTCTATCTGGCCTGCCAACCCAATCCCGGCATCAGGTGGAACTCGACGATTGGACATCTGGAGTCTGGAATGCTCAAGTGCGCCAGCTTCAGTGGTCGCGTAGTGGGTTGGCGGGGGTGGACAGGACCTTGGCAGGCGTGCAGCATGTCAAGGTGCTTGGTCAACATTGAACATTGAACATTGAACAGGCACCGGACGCCAAGTGCTGGTGTCAAATCGGCCCGAGTCCGTCAATCCGTCTATTGACATGTCGACTACTCCGTACATGTGTCCGCATGCCGGTCCCTGGTGCCTGGCGGCGGGCCATACACCGTCATGCTGTTGACGCGAGTCTGGCAGTATTAAGCCCGGTCTATCAACCGCCTCGCGGCATTTCGGGGTCTAGTACTATTGCGAGGAGAAAAGCGTGCGACCTGAGTTGCGAGTAGACATCCTTGTCCCGGTGAGACGGCCACCATTGCTTGCGTCACAACCCATGCCCATGCCGCTTACTCTTTTTGCCAGGACCTGGAAACCACACTGTCGATAAGTCTCTGTGCCGCAACGTGTTCAACTTGGCACCACCAGGCTTGTTTACGGTGGGCAGCGCTGTGTTCCGTACTTTAATCAATTGTACTACCGAGTACAATGAGCAGCAGTTCTGCCGCGACTGCAGTGAATGCATCACCCTGAGATACCAGCACCAGTCACACACTTTCAATGGCTAGCTGTCTGGCTTGTGACGCATAGTTTCAGCTGGAGCCTTGTTTCTGACAAGAGAACATTGAAGCCCTTGACCCAAGGTCGAATGGTCTCATGATAGCTACCACACGGTAAACATGGCACTATAGCTCCTATTTTTATTTTTCAATGTCGTCAATTGTTTCGGTTTTAGTATTGAGAGAAGCTCAAATATAAGCGCCGGACTGAGGAACAGCTGACCATTTGTTCATGAAACTCGTTTCCTTGCTGCTTCCCTGCAACTCGGCGCCGAAGCAGAGATGCCACCGCACAGCCACACGTCAGGGGACGCTGTGGCTGACTGTCAAGCCACCTCCAGCTAGTAGATGGAAATTTCCACGCTCACCTCCGTCCATCGCACCATCACGGGAGCTTCAATCTACAGCTTCGCGACTCTCTCTATCACGCCATGTCTGGGGTGCGCAAAGGTTCTCGCCTGGTCAAAACACTAGGCCAAGGGCAATTTTTTCTGAGGAAGACACCCTCATGCGTGAGAAGTTTAGCATCCGCGGCCGAGGCCAACCCCCGCCAGAATGACCATCTGAGCGATCTCGAGTCAACGACGACGTTCACATCACCCGCGCCTGACCAGAAGTCAATTGACGCATTCAATCAAGCCGAGAAGCTGAGCGCTAAGGAGAGGAGACTTCCCGGTAACCGGTACGTTTCTGCTCTTCCAACAACCATCTGCTTCCCTCCCGAGACGGACAAGGTAAACTGACAATCTCAAAGATACCAGTACCACCCCCCCAAGTACTACCGCGGTCCTCTGCATCCTGTTCAAACACCCCCAGCGTCTGATCCAACCGCTCGAGATTTTGTTCCTGGCCCCTTCAACTTCCCGCGACTCAAGCATACCTACGACAGCACCATCGCCCCGGACCTGTTGACCATGACCTACCAACACACTCCCCCCAGCACCGAGCAAGTTGTTTCCCAAAAGGGCACCTTGAGGCAATGGGACGGCTCCTCGCCCTACCATAAGAACAGACCCAGCCGAGGTCCCCGTGGCGGCGGCTCCTCAAGACTCGGCATACTGGAGCGCAACATTGACTGGAACAACATCCCCGAGATTGAGGCAGTCACCATCAACTCGTACGCCCCCAATGCCGCCCAGAACAAGGAATACCTGCACGTCGCCCGTGCTGTGGTCCAGGCCATCAGCGGTGACTACCCCGACGTCACCACCGTCAAGCACCATGTTATCCAGTGGGGTGTCCGCAAGGGCGACAAAGCCGGCGCCAAGGTGACGCTTCGCGGCGGTGCGGCGTACGAGTTTGTCGACAAGTTGGTGACGCTGGTCCTGCCAAAGATCAAGGATTGGCCGGGCATCAAGGCCTCCACCGGCGACGATTCGGGTAATTTGGCATTTGGCATGAAGCCAGCTTGGATGGCCTACTTCCCAGAGATAGAATTTAACTACGACGTAAGTTGACACGATGTGCCTTCTTGGGCCCGCAGCATGCTAATTCTTTGTGTACGCAGATGTACCCGCCCAAGCTGATGCCTGGATGCGACATCTTTATCCACACAACCGGCACGTCTGACCGACAGGGACGCCTACTGATGGAGGCCTTGGGATTCCCCTTCCACGGCAAGGCAACGCGCTAAATGCAGCCCGCAAAAAGCGACAGTGTATAATCAAACTTGAGAAATTCTGGGAGAAACGCGTTGTGGCATAGACATGTATAACATTTTTGTATCATAAAATAAAAACGCAGGGCTATCATGAGCAGCCCCAGCTCTTATTCCCTATCATCCCGTCTATCCCTATATCCTTGGCCCGATACCCAACGCCAAAAAAAAAAAACAAGTGGTCAAAAAGCCCCAAAAACTCCATGTAATGCACCCACCCAAGAACCATTCCCTCGCACCCCCTACGCACCCTTGGCCTTCTCCCTCAACGCATGAATAACGGCGTCCACAGCCTCCATGTCAAACGCGTCAACCCTAGCGCCCTCCCCGAACCCCCTCTTGCCCAGCTCCTCGACGCACACGTCCATGGCGGGCTGGTAATTGCGGCACGCCGAGCTCAGCGCGTAGACAGCCTTCCTCCTCACGTCCTCCCTCTCGGCGGCGCCCAGCGCGACGGCCACCAGCGCGGGCACCCCCGCGTCGCCCATGGCCACCAGCCTCTCCTGCGTCTTCTCGTTGTTCTGCACCGCGGTGCCGACGCACCACGCGGCCATCTTCCTGTGGTCGGCCTCGGCGTGCGCGAGCTGCTCCAGCAGCGGCGTCCACAGGCCCAGGTTGGCCATGTTGTTGGCGTTGTCGAGCGACTCGATCAGCTGCTCGAAGTTGTCCCACGCGACGAGCTTGTTCTCCAGGCTGACGTCGGCGTCGGGCGCGGTGACGAGCTCCATGGCCGCCTTCATGAGGTCCGCGTCCGAGGGGCCGCCCATGAGGGCCGCCATCATCTCGGGCGTCAGCTGCGACCGCGAGGCCTGCGAGGCGGCGGTTTCGGCGGCCGCGGGGTCGTCGAGCGTCACGTCGGAGTGCTCGACGGACCAGCGGAGGAGTTCGGTTAGACGGGGGTCTTGGGCCATCTTTGTGATTTTGGTCTTTTTTTAAAAAAAATAAAAAATGAAAAAATAGCGGATGAGTTGTTTTGGAGTATGGGAAGGATTGTGTTTGCGCAAGTTTTAATGTTGGACGTTGGTTTTTTTTGGATGGCCACGCTTGGATTTTTTTTTTCTATGGAAGCATGATGCTCATTCTGGAAGCTTCATGAGGGGACTCGTGCGGGTGGGGTCAAGGGTGGGGCACATTGCGGCCAATGTTGAGCAGATCTTGGTGACGGAGATGTGCTGCTTGAAGCGAGTTACTACTGAATTACGAGTGCTGAATAGCTTCATTGGCCTGCTGTCTGGGTGTAATTTTGTTGCAGGCGTTATTACGGACTGCTGTGCTTTGCGAGGAGCTTGCATAGGGAGTCAGGGACTAGAGGAGGAAAAAAAAAAGTACTTACCCCGCCATACCCCTCCTTGCCGACCTGGCCCAGTGTGCCACAGCCCTTGATCTGCCCGCATCTACAGAAGATGCATCATGATATCAGGCCTGGCTTCACAATGGAAGCCTGGGCTCAGAATAGCAGCATTTCGGGGTTGCGCCTTCGCAGGCAACATGGATACATGTGGAGCGGAACTGGGATTGTGGGGGTTTCAAGCAGTCTGCTCATGTCTTTGCTCGCGGAATACACGGATCTGGACATCTTATCTTGGCAGGCATTGGGCCGCGATTCTACAGAAGCCGCGCAGGGTGACATTTGCATCCATACAGGGAGGCTTCAGGCTACGTCCTTGGCCGGGAGCCGAAACTACAATCTACCCAATCAATGCCACGTCCCAGCGACCGAGGCCATTCGCGAACAACGCAAATCATCAAGGCAGCAGCATAAAGACTTTGCACCCGAGACAAATCCCGTACCGTACGGCGTCCATTACGTGTATCCCCGCCTCCGCCAGCAATGCTGACGACGCCGCCCCCTTTTTTCCCGGGTAGCCCGTCATTCGGGGCGGCCGCAGCGTTTCCAAGCTGGGAAAACGAGAAAAGAACGAGAA